GCTAATAGTTGCAAAGCCAGTAGAGAAACCGCCTTCTTTCAGGGAACCCGAAGATTCATGACCATGTTCACATGAGTCAGCCACTCAGTCACTCTTGTACGGTCCTATACAGAGCAAACGGCATAACGAGGCGCTTCGCAACTTGTACACTCCCACAGAATAACTAGAGTGATTAAGCCAAAGAGGATGAGATGGGCAGGGCATGTAGATGGCATATGGGGTTTCGGTGTGACAGCCAGAAGGAAAGAGGCCACTAGGAAGACCTACACATAGGTGAAAGGATGATATTAAGATGGATGTTAGATAGGATGGAATTGATCTGGCTCAGGATAGAGACCAGTGGACACGGTAATAATTAGTTATATAGTATTATAAGTTTCGTATCGAATATCGCGATCGAATGGGGAGCAGTCCTACCTCGTATCGGGAGGTTCTGACCTGGAGACAACTATCCCGAGTGAGGTCTTCACGCTGCGTCCTTCGCAGTTTCTTATTGATTTTCCGTCCCGCCATTTGACGCTACGTCACTTGAACTACCGAGAGCTTCGTAGTGGAGCGCTTTGAAATAACGCAACTGCGTTCCTACACGTTAGTTCAGTGACTGAGGTTAGCTCTCTCTAAGGGGCCCAATTGAGGCCGCGCCAGAGCTCAAGCGGTTAGTCGGTAGCTTCCCACCGCGGCGGCCCGGGTTCGATCCCGGGTCTGGTCAAGTGGGATTTGTGGTGGACAAAGTCGCGCTGGGGCAGGTTCTCTCCGAGTACTTCGGTTTCCCCTGCCAATCTTCATTCCACCAATTGCTTCACAATCACCCTCACCTATCATCTGGGGCTGGTACAATAGGCCAGAAGTGGCCGCAGTTCAAGGGACTAGCAATAAGAAAATTACGAGAAGCTGAGAACAGAAGAAGAAACTTGGGTTGCTTATATTTATAGTCTGACAAGACTCAGTGGGGGAGCCTTGAAAGAAACTCTCTCAAATCGACTTTATTCTGTTATTTCGAGGCGAGCTTCCCCTTGTTATAATGTACTGAGACGCCGTCTTCTCTTTTGTTTTTCCAATTTTCGTCTTCTTGCAGCTTGCCTTCTAAACGAATTCTATAAGCCCAGCAACAGCTGAATCTCATGTGAACCTATAGGAATGCTTCAGAGCTTGGGTCTTCTGTCCGAAAAATGAAAATATGTGCGTTTAAAATAACCACGACATGTTTTGTATCCTGTGTATGAGAACGTTTGCTTCTGTTCCTGGACTCTGCGGTGAGCTGTGTGTGGCTCGTTCCTTGAGAAGCGGCTGGACCGCATCTTGAGACCGTCATTTCATTATGGACTGTTACTTACAGAATTTTGCCACATTTTCATAGATTTTATTAGCTGTCTTTGTGTCATCATTCTTTTGTTTTGGGACTTGCTTATTTCTGGATGGACGCCCTCGCCGGTTTGCTAATTGATTGTCTGTGTTCCTTACTTATGGTCCCTTTAGATAAATACAAGGGTAAATTATAAACTTCGTGCTTGCAGGCCCCCTTGCAAAGTATATGTCGAAAGGAGTGTATACCAAACTTATAATGAAATTATGTGGATCACATTCTCCTATATACTTGTACATAAGAGAGGGCAGGGCGACTTTTTGGTGGGTCGCCCCATGCTCCCAAGTGTTCTCCAGTCTGATTAACATAAAAATGCCCTGTGTATGAGTTGAAAGTGTTGTCACATGTTTGCGTGACTAAGACGCGGGTTTGGGTTCGTATTGGATTTATGAACAACTTACAGGCCGTAACTACAAATAATTAAAACACTCTTGCTGATTTACTGTCACTCCTAACTAATCTTCTCAGGCTATTTCCACCATTCTTCACGGAATTATCATACAGGAACTAGAGAAGTGTCTCTAAATCACACTCCCAATATCACTGCACTACAGCACACACGTGATGTCTTCACAGGTAGACGAACTTTCCGTGCCTGTTTCCTACCAAGACCTCAGAATTGAACCGTAGCTCTTTTTCTTTATTGCTAGTGGGGTGGGACTAAGTCCCTTGTACTGCAGCCACTTCTGGCCTATTGTGCCAGCCCCAGATGATAGGTGAGGGTGATTGTGGAGCAATTGGTGGAATGAAGATTGACAGGGGAAACCGAAGTACTCGGAGAAAACCTACCCCAGCGTCACGTTGTCCACCACAAATCCCACTTGACCAGACCTGGGTTCGAACCCGGGCCGCCGCGGTGGGAAACCAGCGACTAACCGCTTGAGCTATGTCGCGGCCCTGAGCGCCGTTTGTTTTTAAGATAACTCCTTTGCACGGACCCCACGGAAACCACTGTCTTCCGTTGCTGAATAGTGTTTACTGAACCATTGCATAGCAACGATCGCGTCGCGGACCCCACAGGAAACACAATAGCTGAGGTTTGTTTCCCGAGCCGTTGCGTAATAACGCTCTGGCCATCCACGTTACAGTATTTTAATAGCCTGGTGTGAAATGTTAGAACTAGCGTATACCATTCGACGCGGGCGACCCACACGCAATACTCTACGTGGCGAGAATCGGTACTGGACGCAGTGCATTTACTGTTTCCGTGAACGTGCCGACACGCCATTCCGTTGCTACAGTAGCGGGAGTTAAACTCAACTCTAGCAACTGTTTCCTTCCATGATACGGCTACCGAAGTTTCAATAGGGAAGTTTCGTTGCTGTGACCGATACGAACTTGGGCCTAACCACATCTGGGCGCCACCTCTGCTCACCACGACGCCTCTCTAAGTACTCGTATAACGTTTTGTTTCCTGCCCTCATTACAGGGCTTTTCTTTCGCTCTGTTTCTACGGCGACCTCTCTTATTGCCGTTCTAACAGCAGTTCTGTCCCTTTAGTATCAAATGTGCAAAAAGGTTTCGCCTCTTGGTTAAAATAAACCAGCACAATTGGACCACTATAACAAATATAGTCCTGCTAACTTTCTGGAGAAGTACGTGAGCGACCTTTGATATTTCATATAATTTCATTCGTAAAAGATACAGTACACATATTTTGTATTGCTGTAACAAGAGGACTGAGAACCATTAACTCAAGTAAACTGAACTATTGTGCTTCATTTTCAGAAAACGTATAAAATGAATGAGTAATGGAGAAGTCGTGTTTCATCTCCGAAAGAAGTTAATGCATTTCGGTTGAAGTTAGCAAGCAAGATCTGTACTAAATATACAAGTAACTTGAGAATATACACATTGTGACATGGCAGCTGAAAGGCCGGAGTACTGTCCGCTGCTAGGTAGCGGTTAAATAAACGCGTATAGCGGCAACGGATACGCACGCGACAATAGAGAAACTGTTGGAAGTAGTGTCTTCTGTGCGGTCTGTCATGAGGCCATATAGCGAGGTCCGCTGGGAAAAGAAAACAAAACTGTGCAGGCGACAAGCAGAAGTCACACAAAATCATGAGAATGAACATGTTCGCGGTATAGGACAGGGTGAAACCAGACATAGAGAATATTAGAGGCTTAAACTTGGCGGTAGTCAGGCTTACAACCGTTCAAATGTCTAAGCTGCCGTTGTAGCATAAGATACGTAAGTTAGGCATGGTCTGCTCTTTCGTACCATGGATGGATGGGTGAGAGTGTGAGTGGATGGACGGATGGAATTATTTAGTTAGACAAATAGTTACTCAGCAATTAGGCAGGCAAATGTTAGTGAGTCAATCTGTAAATCACTACTTATTTATTCAGTCGGTATTTACTTGTAGTGAGGTGGTAAGTTAATCAGTAGTTCACTAACTGAATGGTTGGGTGGACAGCCAGTTATTCAGGCAGTAGTGTTGTACATGGAGCAGTCAGTAGCTCATTCTGTTGGCGCCCTCATTACTATTGTCACTCCTTGTCTTGTGGTATGCGCTACAAACAGTCAACACAGCCGTTTCTGTCCCTCCACAGATCCAGTTGCGGACAATAATTCATCGTTTCTTGAGGTGCCATTGAATACTACACCATTACGGACATTCCAACTGCATGTTAAAGCACAGGACGAACCGTGCAAACTAAGGACTCCATTTGTCGGACTAGGTTGGTGTCCATGATGTGTATTTATGCTAACCTCCCATAGAGGAGGGTTGGCGTGATTCGCGTATTTGAGATACGACGTATGGATGACGAATCCTGAAAGGTTTTAATATTTAGAATTTATTGTTATACATGACGAATACACATTTTAGTCATTTTAGAATGAAGACGTCATGGCATGCAGTGCAGTAGTTTGACGTGCATAGAGATACACCTGAAGATGGCACATTAGTGCTGAAACATGTAGTGTAAAAGTGAAGAGAAAGGTGAAAATAAATAAAAAATGTGCATTGTAAGACGGTTAGCATAAATACACATCATGGACATGAACCAGTGCAACAGGCCGCTAAAATATAACATTAACAGGACTAGGTTGGTTTAGACATAACGCTGTAGACTTGTGTTCGATAGGAGATGGCTTCGAATTTCGGCTCGGACACAGGCTATCCTGACGGAGGTTCTTTGTGGTTTTCTTCAGCCCCTCCAGGCAAATACTGGGATAATACCTCGGTTACGCCACAATCGCTTCCTTCCGAATCCTTTATAGTTCATTTATTTCTCATTCCATCACTCGACGCTGTACAATACTGTCGGTCGCTATACCGTGTAGAATCGTCAGATATCCTGAGGAAGAGAACTGAAGTGATTCAGCTCATAGCTTTCATTGCTAAATGTTCTGTGGCGTCAACTGCAATTAATGAACTATTTTTTGGAAAGAAAAATTGACAAGATTGCGACAACGCAAATAATTTCATATATACACGGTATCTGGAATGCCGTTTGTGATTGGGTTCAACATTTGCAATGTCGACTCGTTCGGGTTGCTAAAACGCACCGCGTGCCCGCGAGTTCTCGCACCTCTGATTGCTAATGCTGAGAAGTACTGGGTACAGTTCGCAACACTGAAAACGCTCTCTGGCTCCCGAACCCTGTAGTCGAGCTTAGGTTTACTTACCGTAATTGGCAGCATCAGTTCGTGCGTCTCGTTTCCTCTCCAGAGCCTGGACTCTGTGGGCAGCGGGGGAATGTCACAGGAAAGAGACTCCAGCTTCTCTTCAAGTCTTGAAGGGATGCGGTGTGCAGAAGGCTGTGGTTGCTGCGCTGCAGTCGTCCCAATACTGTTGGCTATGGTCACTACACTCGCAGTCGGCTCTGCTGTACTCGTTGGTGCAGGTGGCCATGTTGTTTGTAACGTGTTGATCACGGAGGAGGCAGTTTGAGGGTTAGCTGCAGAACTTTCCGGTGTCGTGCTTGCTGTTACCGTTCCTCTTAATGTCGTTATGAATTTAGAGGGCGTTGAATTCACAGTCGCAGCTCCGCTGTATATTGAAGTTCGTAGTAATAAGGACAACAAAGCAACAGTCTTAATGAAGCACAGCAAATTTGGTATGTTCTGCATTTTTCAGTTGTTTCCTAGCTTCCAGCTCTGTTTGTGAGAGGAATTAATTATAAATTTTAAATTTATATTTGTTAACAAACAGGAAGTATGTGGTTTTGTCTAGGACGGATACTTAGCCTCTTTTCGATTGTTTTAGTTTGCTACTTATCGTGGACAAAGATGGCCGACTTCAGTCTTTCGACATATCATTGTTCTCCCTCTAGGTACCGGCCTCGTCTGCTGTCCTCACAGTTTCAAGCCAAGAACCATTCTGCAAGAAGGAAAAGAAATCACAAGCTTCTAATTACAGGAGCAGAGTAGCAATAAGAAGACCTCCTTCCGCTGCACAGAGATGTGTAATGTTGAAGAAAGCAGTCTTCTGGGATTTGGCACCGTGTATATGTGGTGTTAACCGACGTTTCGGAGGAACGTATCGCCTCCATCTTCAGGGTAGAAGAAAAATATAAGAAATCTGCAAGCGAAGAGACCGTGAGAACCGGTAAAAGCAGACCAATCTGCTTTTACCGGTTCTCACGGTCTCTTCGCTTGCAGATTTCTTATATTTTTCTTCTACCCTGAAGATGGAGGCGATACGTTCCTCCGAAACGTCGGTTAACACCACATATACACGGTGCCAAATCCCAGAAGACTGCTTTCTTCATAGTCACCGCCGTGAAAGCCTCAAATCTTACATGTGTAGTGTTGCATTCTATTTCTCTACGAGGGATATCCGTCCTAATGTGATTGCCAAAGGAGACGGAAACGTGTGGTGTTAGGTCATTATATTGCTCTGATTGTCATAGTACAGGGATATTACGAGTACTTCGCCAACTGTCTGATCGTCCTAACGGAGAGATGGTGTGTCTTCACGCGGTTGGAAGCTGAATATTTAATTGGTTTTTAGAATGAAATATTTTCAGAATTGTGTAAATGGTAACCTTGCGTAAGAAAACCCTCAATAGCAAGGGTTCTTCGTTAGATACTGCAGCTCATTAAAAGCAATTCAAATTTATGTTAGTTTAGAAGAATTTTTTACGCGTCCAAATAAAACTCATGAACGTATACACACATGTTCTCTGTTTAGCAACCGTGCCTAAATTCTGGGGTTTAGACGCTCGGGAATTCATCAGAACCTGATTCATACGCGTCTGGAGTTCAGGGCTCACCAAGACTGTTTTCTAACGAACCTCAGTTGGATACTGAACGTCATAAATAATGTTCAGTTGGATACATCGGGCTGCAAACTTCTATTGTAGCCGCAGGTCCGAGGTGCACAAAATATTGGGCCCCTCAACAACTGGAAACGCAGTTTCGAATGTTGCTGGAGAAATTGCCCTCATTTCAATTCGTCGCCCGGTGATGGTAGCCATCTACCGGTGGTCTTATGTCCTCTCCAAGGAGCACTGCTCTTTGCCAAAATAGAAACACAACACCAGAAGGAAACTGCTGAGCTTGTGATGGAGGCCTCTCATGTCCTGACCCCCCATCCAGGCCGTTGTGCTTTTGTCCTTTCCACTTTATAAAGGCTGGCACATTAATATTAAGTTTCAGAATATGCTTTATCGATCGTAAAGAGAACTAATTATACTGCATATACAAACTTTTGGAAATATTGTCACATTTTAATAACGCTTGATTTTCGCCAAAACAGGCATTATATTGAAATAATAGTAAGGAATATAAAAGTTCGCTTTATGACTCTTAGCGTAAGCCCGTCAGTACTAAGTTTCAGTATCAAAACGGAATGACTCGGTAAGATGCGTCCATATGGTGTGTCAGTGTGGCTGCACACCGCTCCCTCCTGCTGCATAGCATCCACCCTTCGGTCCCTTATCCTGGCAGGAACTTCTCTCATAGGCAAGTGCAAAGTGCACCAACACACGTGGAGGAACAGCTCAAATGGACTGACACACGTTCTGGCCTCTTTATCCCCCAAAATAAGAAGGGAATAAACAGAAAAGAGCTTCAAAGTAATTCTTTGTTCTCATCATTTCAAGTCAAGAACACTTCCTCGACATTTCACAGTACACAGATATCCTGTCGTCTAGTCGATGTAAGTGTAATCAGTAGTTGATACAGCGTCGCTCAATATCGCTTCACATTCCCACCGGACTTCCTCTTGGCTTCGGCACTGATTCCCTGCATGTGGGGTTAATATCATACAGATTTTCAGCGAGCAACATAACATAACATGTTCTGTTAACATTAAACATCGTCAGCAAGGGATAAGAGAAACATTCAGCGAAGATTCTAGTAGACACCACTAAAAACGGGACAGAATCCTCTTGTTGGTAGATACAGAACTACTATAGGCCTAAAAGACTTAAATGTGAGAGGTTGTAACCGACATTCTTGAACTGGGAATAAATAACTGACCAAAGTTACCAGTAACCCATCAGTGTGATGCAGACAGAGGAGCTTTCAGCAAACAACACCCCAAAAGTATGGACAGCCAGATTAATCCTAACTCCCCTGTAACTTTCTGACCTCCTCACTGACAAGCAGAATCCAGATGGAAGAAAATTCTAGGTTATGCTGTCTGATCGGATTCGTAAGAAAAGCCATGTGGGCCGAGTCCTTGCATTTTCTACATCATGTAAACCCCTGGCTTTTACTAATATATACAGTGTCCATCATATGGCTTTTTGGATACGTTTTATTTTTCTGTCAGCCCATGTTCGAAATTATTCTTTGAGACCACTCAAAAGAGTCCACCCATTTGACTAATATAACTTCTGCCGTATTCACAGGGGATGCTGTAGACATATCTCGTATCCTGAGGACCCTCATTAGGGCCAGTTTTTACCACATAGCTATAATACTGTTCTTCTATGCAGTGGGTCTGGATATTTCAGCTAATCCCTTGAATTAGAATAGTGTGAAGAGGGCTCCAATCTGCTAGCGGCCGGCTTCCCTCCCCATTTTGATGACAGGGGAATTAATTAAACGTTAAGGGAAAACATTAAGTGGCAAATCACGTTTAATGTGCAGGAAATGAAGTCAATCTCGGCAAATGGTAGTTGCCCTATTAAACAAACTGTGAACAGCTCCTGCTTTGCTGCATTCGAAACTGAGACGCCCTTCAGTAGCTGTGGCTCTCCTGCAAACCTTTGTGAACTGGTAACTGAGGCGTCCAGAAATGGCAGTGTTTTGTTGCAGTGTACGTATGTCCGTAGTAAACCGAAGAGACAGTCTAATACTAAGTTACTCTTATGAGATCAGTTGCCTAGGGCAGCGTTCTCCTGCAGCATTATGTCGTTCGCACGAAACACTTCTTGGTATGAAATGAAAATATATGCGAGCGTGGATCTCCGTTGGAACAATGTTCATAACCAAGTCACACCAAGTTTCTGAACATCCGGGCGTTGGTTCAGACCTTGTTAAGGGAGCAAGACATGCGAACATGATAATATATGAAGAAAACAGTCTTCTGGGATGTGGCACCGTGTAGATGTGGTGTTAACCGACGTTTCGGAGGAACGTATCGCCTCCATCTTCAGGGTAGAAGGAAAAATAAGAAATCCGCAAGGGAAGAGACCGTGTCCCTCTCTCCGGCTTTGACTTCTACCCTTTCTTCATATGACAAATAACAGAAACTGTAACCGGCCAGTGTGAAGTGGCACCGCCTACTTTAAGGAGCAGGTTCCGGGTTTTATGAAACTCTCATTTATAAACGAAAATGCGAGCGGCGTAAATCAAACCCAGGCCTACTAAATTTAAGACGCCGTCAGCACGTCTTTAAGGACAGGGCATGAGAGATAAAAGGCTAAAATCGATGCAACTTGTGTCTTCAGTTTTCCCCCTTTCATAACTGTAACTCATGAGAAAGCGGAAATCCACGCGCCATTGAGACTCTCTGATATTGCTGGCGGGTCACGTGAATTTTAGAAGAACACACAAACTTCAATTTACGCAGGTAAGGAGGTTGGTCTAGAAGTAAACACAGATAAAACTAAGTATATGTTGCTGTTAGCCCCCCCGCCCTCTCTGTACGGCTCTACAGCCCTTTGGACCTTGGCCGCTTTTTCACTGTCTTCATCCTATACACAGTAGGTAGGACTCCTTTGACGGGGGATCAGTCCGTCGGAAGGCCGCTACCTGCACACAGAACAAGACAAACACAGGATAAACCCACACAGACATCCATGCCTCGAGTGGGATTCGAACCCATGACCCCAGTGTTCTTGCCTTAGACCGCGCGGCCACTGTGACCGGATTAGCTCCAAAATAGTCTCGTCCATCAGGATTTGCAATGAGTATTGTGATTTGCATGTAGACTTACACTTTGCCAGTTGGTTAGTTAATGATGAGTAGTTTAGCCCGCCGGTCAGTTCGGTTATTTGTCTAAATATTCATTGACTGAGTGAGCTTGTCGGTCAGTCAAACAGGCAGTGGGTTAATAAATCACTTAGTTAAGAACTTAAGCAATCGGACAGCGGTAGATGTAAGTGAACCATTGGGGTTATCCAGTCGTTCCGCTGAGTTTTCCTTTCTTGTCCTTTCTCGTATTAAAAATGATTGACGTAAGAGTTCCGAAATGTAATTATGATTTCGTAACTGTGAACGCTGTTCTAATGATTTGTAACAGACGGACTGCTAGCCCAGTATCTTACAGTTCTGTGAGGCAGAGCTTCTCGCTGCCCAGTGGTTTCTCTTCACTGCCGAGTTTTGACGAACTTCTGCACCCCCCCCCCCCCAATTTTCCTTTCTCTGAAGTACTTCTTAGTTCAAATACGACAGAAGCACAGGCGAGATGGTGGCGTTCCGCGGGTTGCAGAGCTGCCATGGGCGTGTTGCCGGATCTGATGAGACCCCCGGGGGGTGGGGTGGGGGGTGGAGACCGAGTTTGAACAAATAAGGCTCGAAAAGCGACTACAGCAGTAAGAAGAACACTAGATTAGTTTTGTAGGGTAAAGCGTGTTGAAGTGCCTATCTGTGCTGGTAAAGTGTGGTGAAGTGCCTTGAGTACGCACGTCTTTAAGTCCCTCCTTTACACTCACATTGCAGAGTGAATGCTACTCAGCTACTGACGTTATGGACCAATATGAAGACTCGGGGCATTTGCAGATAATTCGTTGAGAAGAATATTTGGACCTTAGTGAGAGAAAGCAATGAAGAAAATTGGAATATTTCTCCACTAATATCGTTAACGTTTCCATTTAAGGAAGGTGGAATTGGCAGGGAATGTTATATTCAGTATAAATCGTGGTTACGATTTAAACATTTGTCTGAAACATCTGAAAGGACTGGACAATCTCAAAACCCAGTCGCAGATGGGAGGATGTTATTAAAAGTGAATCTTAGCCAGCGTCGTTTAGTTGTGTACGGACATCGATATTGTAGCACGTAAACCCGTTACTCTGTAACAACGTCGAAACAAACAACGAACCAACATTCGTTACTAGGCAACAAATTCTTAGTAAACAAGTATACGAAGCCGTTACTGAGTAACGCCTTTATAAACACGTTTTTATGGAAACGATTGAAGCATAACAGTGGATGGGGTTTTCTACGCGGTCCGAGCCGAGACGTTATAACCGAGACAAGTTTAGAAGTTAGTCAGTAGTCAGCTGTAAGGGAATGTATGAAGAGAAGACTTGGTTGGCTCAGTTGAATCCTCACTATTAGAAGCCGTTACCAAGGAAGGACTGGTGAAGACACAGCAGACTGCAAAGACGTACCATATGCTGTAGTGATTTGTAAAGTGTGAAAATTAGCGATAGTGTTATAGTTATTTGTAGTTATGATCTGTAAGTGGTCAATACATCCAATCTCCAATCCAAAACCCCATCGAAAATCACTCTAACACGTGACATTTTTTTACTGTTATCCCTGTTCTTGACGTCCACGTTAGCAATACATAAATAAATATCAGTAAAATGTTTATTCCATATATACGGGTATGTCTCCTGTGGTACGTGTGGATAAGACTCGAGTAAAGGAATGAGGGAAGCGCCCGTTGGTGCAGCAACTTCTCCGGCAGTACTGTTGTTTTGGCAGCCTATTGCAGTATGTGCAGGCGCTGTAAGTCTTAACCACATCCGGAACGTCAATTTTTCTGCTGAACGGGTCGCTGTGCCTCTGAGACCATAGTACAATTCGTACACTGTTCCATATCACTGCTGCCAACATTGTATTAAAGCGGATACACATTGTACACAGCCACAAAGCAAGTGACTGCCTGACAAACGGATGAGACGCTACAGAAATCTCGAATGGGGCAAAACGCAATGTACGTTTCCGTACCTGCTTATTGCATGTTTGTTTTCATGTAGTTCTCTCGTCTACACAAACATTCTAGTGGCACGCTGTAGGCCGGAAGATCGCGGGTTCCATTCCTGATGCGACCACTGAATTGTTCAATTCACCTAATCCTTCCCGCCGCACTATTGCCATGGGTTCGGCTCAGCCTCTAACAGAAATGAGTACCAGAAATCTTCCTGGGGATAAAGAGCGGCCGGCGCTTAAGGGTGCCGCACACCAACAGCGTCAAGTTAAACATCAAGACATGAGACGAAAGACGCAGTCTTGCTTCATTCGTGATTGGTCAGCATAAAGCTGACGTCAGGATCATGACTCTGACCGGTGTGCGGCGGTTTTCATAATCTCATTCGTTTCAACTGTGCTTCTTTCCTTTCGTCATGTCGCAGACATCATGTCTTGACGCATACCGGTGTGCGGCCTACCTAAGACTGACAACCTCACCTTTATCTATGAGTTGATTGTCTAGAAAATGTGGGAGCCTCGACCTCTCACAACCTTATGGGCACCACGGTCTGTTACAGAGATAGTTTTACGGTTCAATTTTCACACAAATACCCTGTGCTGATATCTACAAGTGACTTTTCCGCCCACAATTCCGCAAACATTTCTCTTTTCTCCATATTCCCATATCACTCATTTCTTCATTCACAAGTTTAAGTAACTGTACAATGTGATCGAAGGAGGTAATCGTTGAACCAGTTCAAGGTACCATAACCTCCATTGAATAATGCTTTCGTCAGTAGTACTCTTTCTTCATTTACTTACAAACGCTTCGTAATGGAGTCTCGTAATCTATACCCACGTTTTGTTCAGTACTTGATAGGGAGACAGACACACGGACAAGACAAGCCATACTTTAAATGTTGCAATTGCAGTGCGTAATCACTTAATGTTGAAACTTCATCAACAAATATATGAGAGAACAAGGTTCCTACATCCAAGGAAACTACAACATGACATGATACTTGCAAAGACCAATCAGTTAATGTGAAGGGAGCCGCAATGAACCCATAGAATGCATTTTGTTGGTGAAATGCCAAGTTACTGAATGCTAGAGGAGGCAGTGCACGCGGCTACTACCCTTAAATGATTCGCTATGTTTTCTCTGGAAAAGGGTTAATGGATGTTTTTGTAACTTTTGTAAAAATCTGTCTGCACGAAGTTTTCTCCACAGACAAAGCCCTGCTTCCAGACCCATGGACTTACAACAAGGCTAAATTTATTTATACCTTTTGCAGGTCTTCCCTCGGGATGGGCTCTCCCTGTTGGCTGAAGTAAAAGCATCCGTTGCTGTACCCTGTAAAGGTTAGAAGGACTAGACCGAAATGCGAGCAGCTTGTTTATGTACCAGCTGCTAATGATCACGACAGGCATCATTTGATGTGTGCTCTGTTACAAGCTGGCTCCAGTAATCCTGCCGTTTCTCCTAATGAAGGTTTTGAAAATCTGTACAACATAAGTGATCAAGACTTGAATGGGGCCATACCATCGAGCATTAACTGCGGAACTGATGGTACATGCCTTGGAAGCATAATGGTTACTATATACAGGCCTACAACCTGCCTAACAATAAAGAACTCTGAATTTTTCCCACATGGTGTATTGAATTATTTCGTGTGATTCTCAGAATAAACAGCCATTACTTTCTTAGCAGTGTTAACAATGTTAATGTGTCTTCAAGTAGTGCATCCTGTTGTGTTCACTTATATTCCTTCATTATTTTTCCGTCTCAAGACCAGTTGCAGTTTGTCGTATAACGAAGCCAAACGCAGAAATGTGCAAGGTGGTTACTTACGGAAGAGCGCACTGAGAAACTCAAAGGATTTAGAATTCCCGAGCTGCAAAATGAGGGGATAGGGGGCGAGCCTTCTAGCAGTGTTCACGCCATCACTTTCTATATGACAACCTCTCTAGTTGACTGAGGCGGCGTCCACCGGTAATTGTAGGGTGGGACACGCAGACGCCCTTCTTAATGAACACAGGATTGTCACTCAAAGGGGATAAGATAACACAGAACGTCATCCCTGGGTCCCTACGGGGCCAACATGATGAGACCTTCGGCAAAACGCATTCTTGCATTCTCAATTCCACGGAAAAGTTAAGATTTCCCTATGCTTAATTAAGAACTTCGCCACGAAGATATATGGAGGAATGGGATTATAGATTGAGCACAGCTGTGGGGTTTCACGACCCGACCGCTTTGCCAGAGTTGCTTCTGTCCCGGATTAGATCCCCAGAGCCGATCTCGAATTGGTTTCGCGCGTGGTGTGAAAGGCGTTAACACCAACCACCGAGCAGACTGATTTTGCCTTACATTTTAGTGACGAGACAGCAACATATACTTAATTATCTCTGTGTTTACTTCTAGACCAACCTCCATAACAGCATCAATTGAAGTTTGTGTGTTTCTCTCTATAGTATCTGTATTATCGCCCAGTAGATACATGCATTTTTAAATTTATACCTTAAGTCCCACAGATAGCTTCTGGTGTCCGGAGATAGGAACTAACTCTATGGATTGGGCCCCATCTTAGGACTGAGACAGAGTCCAGTTTCCGAAACGTCGTTTAAAATTAAATTAGGACGGTAGACAGTGTTCAAAAAGTCGATAACTGTGTTGAATCCGAAGAGAACTTGTAGTAAACAAGAAGAAAGGGACCCAGTAGTGCTTATGGAGCTTCATTGCACCAGAAACTGTCGAAGTTCCATAACGAGGAGCGCCAGTTTCTGTTCATCGCGTGACTTTGAAGACTGAATGAATGGCGAACGGAGCGTGAAGCACGCTTGGAAGAAGACGAAAATTCCATGCTACGTTTTCATTCAGAGAGAATAAATATGGAAATGGAATGTTCGGGAGCTCTGTGCCTAAATGAGAGAATAATAATAGAAATCTATGTTAGAGGTCGAGTGTCTGAAGATGCGAGTTTGGTTGAGGTGAATGCAGATGGATTCATTGAAGGGATACTTTGATGAACTTCGAGTTTCAGAACGCATGGGAATTTCTTGATCACGTGAGAAAATATCAGTTGTTTTAGTACTTACTTACTATTAATTAATACTATGGTTTATTTACTTATTTATATCAAAATTTTTGAAACAGTGGCCTGTGGACCGCTTGCCATTCTTCCCTTAATTTATGCAAGGCCACAAATTCTGTTTAACTTCGTGTTGCGTAGGATAGTTCATCACAGCTGAAGAAGTTACTACAGGAGATTGCACTCTTCTAGGGTGTGACACCGTGAAGTCCGGAAGTTAGAAGGAACTTGCTGCTTCCATCTACAGGACAGAAGTGAGGCGAGTTGTATAGCTAGAATACGAAATGAGAAAGGGAAGTGTGGAGGGGACGCTTCTATAAGGGTCAAATTTTCAGGAAGGCCCTGAAAATGACAGCTTTCTAGTAGGGACATTATGAAGACCACGAGCCCAGAAAGTGAAATACATTTGTACTTGAACATTTTTCCTTCTCTTCAGAGTGTGAATGGCTGGTTTACTTTAGAAGCTCGGGGAAAAATTCTCTTCCCTGTGACATGTAGACCCGTTGCTAGGCGGCGATTGTACGGTAGCCGTTGCTCCAGGCGCTAATAACGTGAGCATCGAAGTAGAGGACATTGTTGGAATCCGTCACCAAGCAACGACTGGTGAAGACACAGCAGACTGAGAAGACTTAGTACGTGCTGTAGTAAACTGCAGAGTGTGTGAGTTAGCGATAACGCTATAGGAACTTGTAGTTACGAGTTACGGGTGTATAAATGTGCAGTAAATCCGATTACCAATCCACACCCCGTATATAGTCACACGCAAACATGTGACAACATTGTTGGAATGAGTTTCGATATCTGTCACTTTCCTTATGGTCCGGCCTATGCTTCTGAAAATCTTAAAAGTAAATATATTATTGTGCTTAATTAATTAAGCAAAACGCCACGAAGATGTATGGGGTGTGGAGGTACAGATCCACGTATCCTTAACCTCTGCATCAGGCTGCTTTACTCCTGGAGAGAGCCTCAGGTGTCCATTAGACAGGAGGCTCGCTGGGTCCCAGTACCGTAAAAGTTAAAAGTAAAAGGTAAAGCTATCCCTGCAACAGGCCGTGGAGGCTCATAGGGTTGTGAGATGTTGAGGTACCCACATTTTCTAGACATTCGGCTCACAGATGGCGGCAAGGTTGTCAGCCCTACGCGCCGGCCGCCCTTTATCCCCCAGGAAGATTCCTGAGACTCATTTCTGTTAGAGGCTGAGTCGACCCCAGGGTCATAGTGCGGCTGGAAGGATTAGGTATATTGAAAACAATCCAATGACCTTATCAGGATTCGATCCCGCGACCTTCTGGGTTGTAGCATAGGACCTCGACCAACTGCGCTAGTACCCTTCTGAACGTGATAGAGGTAAAAAGTAAAGGTGTCCCTGTGCTTATCTAATTAAGCATTACGCCATGAAGACGTATGTGGGAGTGGATGTAGAAATCCACATCTTGATCTCGGCGTTTGTTGGAGAGGAGTGGTCAGTTCCACACTCCGGCCGCTTTACTCTAGGGGAAAAAGCCCCGGTACGCGTTGGATAGGAGTTTGGGTGGACCCCAGACACGATCTGGACGATATGGAGAAGTGAAAATTCTTGACCATACTGGGACTCGAACTCCGACCTCTCGGTCTTCCAGCCCGCAGCCAATCGCTATACCGACTGAGCTATCACGGCTCCTCTGAACCTAACAGAAGAAGAAGAAGAAGAAGAAGAATATCTTGTACCTACGTGGGATCGACTCTGAAGTCTTCGATCGTCCCTCGTCTATAGCCCGTCGCTATACCGGTACTGTTTTCAGTTAGTGACATATCTCGATTCGTTTCCGCAACTAAGTGTAGTTGCTGAACACTGAAACTGTTTCGTCCTCCCCCGCCCCCCCCTTAACGTGAGATCACAGTGACGAAGGGGACACGAAACCTTGGGGTTCGGTTCTGGCGGCCTTCAGAAATGCCAGTGTTACGGCCTTTTATGTTTTCCGGATCTTTAGAAGACAAGCACGCGAGAGGAATCATTGCGCAATCCCTTGATCAGGTCCTGATTTGAGGTACTGTCCCGACACTGGTCTGGAGAGACTTAGGGTGGCGGGTCTCCGAGTCGAGACTCATACCCGCAGCCGTCCGAATGTGAAGTAGGGAGTTTCGGAGTATATATACGCTGTGATTTGCAGGACGAAGAATCGTTGTTTTGTTTTGTGAACGGGAAATTTCTAAAGTGTGAGTGATAATTCCACAGATGTGTAATGACTAAGATTTAAAAACAATGTTTGGAAAGGAGTCGGATAGCGCAGTCGGTATAGCAACTGGCTACGGGCTGGACGACATAGGGGTCGGAGTTCGAGTCCCGATAAGGAATCTTCTCCAGGTTGTTCAGACTGGTTCTGAGGCCCACCGAGCCTCCTGTCCAATAAATACCAGGGACTTTTCCCTGGGGGTAATGCAGCCGGGGCGCGAAGTTGACCACTCACCAACAAGTGCCAAAGTCAATAAAACGTGGATATATACATCCACTCACCCATACCCCTCCATGGCGTATTGTTTAATTAGTTAAGCACAGGAACAACTTCATCTTAACTTTGCTTGGAATATAAATCAGACCAACGCGAAAGTCCCTCTGTGTTTAATTAATCTACACAACTCCCGTCCCGGTCGCTAAAACAACCAGAATCCCCTCAGATAGGACCCCGTGCCTACTGACTAGCCGAGGCGCCTTTTCACAGTTACTCTGCTGGAGAGCACAAGAACCACCCGAGCCACTACTGAGGTTCGTGGGACGGTTGCAATAAATGTCTGTGAAATTTCTGTAGTTCATGAAGCCATCATTAATTTTCAAACAATCCTACGTATGGTAAAATTTTGTCCGTATAACAAATATTCACAGCGGAAAAATTAACAGATACGAGATACGAGTATTAGTGGATTTGGATAACGGAGATCGGAAGGCCGTTGTTATTCTGCCGCACGTAATAAATGGAGACATGACAAATGAAAAATTACATAAAGAAAAAAAAAAGAACCAGCGACTTCAGAAGCATAGACTGGTTTGCTTTAAAGACTATTGATTCGTAAATACGCTATTATGAATTCATTTTAATTTACACATAATCACTTACCGTATCTGAACAATCAGTGACGCCTTCCGTCTTGACGCCAATATCGTCACAGACGCCTTCTCAAACACGACTGGAGCCCTACCACTCCGTGGTGAAAGTAAAGTGTCGCCACGCGCATGCTCCGTCTTTCCTACGAACTGTGTGTCGCGCAGACCGTGAGCCTCTTCCACCAATGCTCAAACCGTGTTACTGCATGTCTGTAACATCTTTCAGGATATATCATACCGTGAGCTGACAGCCGTTTTAAAGAAATGTCCTGTGTATTCAGCAGAACCCCCGGAATGGCGATTTCGGCTCCAGTCATACATATACTCGTATATTGGAAACAGCTTCTAGTGGCCCCTGTAGTAACGCAGCGTAACGTCTACGTGTGATGATCATTAAAGACCAGGGATGTTTTAGACACAGCATATCACAGTTCTGTGTCTTCCCCCCCCCCNCCCCCACCGCATTTTCGTTTCTGTTTTCCTAGAGAGTATTATTGAGTTTGATGTATTAATGAAGTATTGACATTTTTTGAACATACAGTAGCCGAGAATTCCAACTTGTGGGCTTATACGTTAATATTTCGGGCGAAAAGAAAAGAAAAATAGTAACACACCAAGCTTGAAGTGTGTTCTTTCCCTGAAGAAAAATATATCCAAAATAAATGGATCGTTGAAACACGACTTCAATCTAAAAACAGCTAGATAATAGGAATGACATGATTTAAAATNGGGGGGGGGAGAGGGGCGTCATCCATAGCTCAGCACGTCACAATACATATAAATTATATTTGTTTATATTTATTTATTTGCTCTTGTGAACACGATAATGAACCTTTGGGCTCCATAAATATTTGGACCTTCATAAGTAGTTGAGCGACAGACGGCATCCCAAGAGGGACTCAGTTACCGTCATTTCAGCTTTCCCACTTAGTGTCCCAGTCCGACGTGTTCCTTTGCCTCTTCTGTTGTAGAAGTTTGTCTAAATCCTAATCACAACTTGGCGACCAGCCAACCCACGTTGGAATATTTTTCTGTTATCATCGATGATGTTGGAAACTTGTAGAGAAGCTCAATATGATCTGACAGACTCTTCGTGGTCATCTACTTGGTGCGACAATTAAGTTCCCGGACTGGTACTGCAGCTTTCACATTAGGTGACGATGAAACGAACTACTGCGGTCTAAGTGCAGTTCTGCCTCTTACCAACAACTGACAGGGGTCAGCACGCCCGGTCACCAACAATTCATGAGTAGCAGCTCAGTGAGTTAGTTGTGTTTTTAACTGCTGTCACTTTCTTAGCCATGGGGCAACGAGTGAATACCAAATTCTGTTTTAAACTGAATAAAGCGCCAACAGAAACTTATGAAATGTTGCCACTCTTGGGGGCGATGAAGTCATAGCGGCACATTAGAGTGGCTTAAACCGTTGAAACACGGGCGTGAAGATCCTCAGCATGATCTGATAAGCGTGCGTCCTTGGGCCTTTTGAAATGACTAATGTCCGTGAAATGGTGGCACGAGATCGTCGACGGGCTCCCAGAATGATGGAAGATGAATTAAACATCAATAAGGAGATTATTCGTCAAATCCTCCATGAAGATTTGCAGAAGAGGAAGATCTGCTCACAGTGATTCCCACGGAGACTCGCATCATGCCAAGGCTTACTGCGGGCCAGTGAAGACAATCCCAGTTTTCTTGATTGCGTTTTCTCTTTCCAAAGGCGAAAACTGCCCTCAGAGGAAAGAGGTTTCAGGATGCTGAATACAATAAGAAAAACGTGACGGTCGAACTGAACGCAGTTCCCTTTGAGGTCTTTTCCGGCTGTTTTCAAAAACCTTTTAAACGATCCAACACATATATTCAAGTAGAAGGAGATTACATACAATAAAAGTAGAGCAATTCTTTATTTGATTGTATTTTTTTTACACACCAGTCCCATAATTTATTGCCAGGCTACTTATATGCTTTTCGTTTTGGGGTTCAATTTGTGTTCCATAGATGGCTCTTGCGGTAGGCTGGTATTGCACTTCATGAAAACTTCTACTTTCTTATGCATTGATGTTTCTCAGTTTTGTGGTTGCTTTTGTTTAGTGTACTTGTTTCCAACTTAAATTATATCGTATTCTTAGGCCTTCATATGTATTTACACAGTTTTTATTGTAAATTTTCCTGTTACCTCCTGTTGACAAAACATTATCTCAGATGCATCTATAGATGTAATTATATTAAATTCGGTGTCCAGTGATTGAAGTTAGCTCTTTCTAGGGACTCCACAATGTAGGTGTGTCTCATCTTTTCACCTGAGGACGGAAACAGATTACGTTTCAAAAAGACGTGTTCTTGAGAACGCTAAGCTTTGGACATACTCCAGAAAGTCAGCAATCCCTTGCATCTCTTTGGTACAACGTGCTGTTAAGAAATTGCTAAACTTCAGAATCGGCTGCTAAATTCTTAAGAGCTTGAATTTTAAATATAAATTGGAACAATCATACATACGTAATAAGTGAATAGATAAATAATCGAGACACATGAAGAGTAAAGTAAAGGTATCCCTGTAACAGGCCGTGGAAGCTCATACGGTTGTCAGATGTTGAGGTTTCCACATTTTCTAGACAATCGGTTCACAGATGGCGGTGAGGTTATCAGCATTACGCACCGGCCGCCCTTTACCCCCAAGAATATTCCTGATACTCATTTCTGTTAGAGGCTGAGTCGACCCAGGGCCATAGTGCGGCTGGAAGGATTAGGTAAACAAAAAACTCCACCTCATCGGGTTTCGATCCAGCTACCTTCCGGCTTGTAGCATGGTGCCTCAACCAACTACGTTACCGAGTGCCCCAATCGAGACACGCAACAAATATTTTCTGTTGTGTCGGTCTTCATGTACAACAACCTATGGTCGTGGACAGGCGAGTTTTCCACAGAAACAAAGATGTTTACTGGAGCTACGGTTTGCCACAATAAATATTCATTTTGTTCTTGCGTTCCTTTAAAACCAGAGATTGTGGCTTCTTTTCCTGAGCAGGAGATCTGTGATTTATGATATTCAGTACAGATTGAAGGCGAAGGTAAGGGACTTCAGTTTACGCCAACTTACCACACTGATTACGTATGTGGGTAAAGGCAAGGAGTAGCGGTGAAGATGTGCTTAATTAACCACACGCCATGAAGACGTGTGGGGGAGTGGAGGTATAGTCCCCGCAATCTTAACCTCAGCAGTAGAATGAAGTGAGTGTCCCTTTATCTAGCACCAGTTTGGACTGGAGCCTGGTGGCCCAAGGGCCCCTCTGAATGCTGTGAGAGAGACGTCATACTGAAAATGTCTGGGAAACGAAAACTGAGTTAATGTTGCGGTTCATGGCTCACGACCCTCACAGCTGTTGGTGTTGAGTGAATGATAAGGCAGTAGGGCTAGGGGGTGCAACTTCTCCACTTCGGTTTTACATTAATATGACTGAGTTCACGAGCTCGTGTCACTTTTCCTTGCGGAACTGCAACCTGCCGAACTCAATGCCGGAATCTTCCTACTACACGTATCTTGCACACTTTGTAACTCTCACGTGGCATATAGACGTGATCAGTAGCAACACGAAGCCTGGGATTTATGAGTGGATCGGCACATAACGCCTCAGTTCGCTTCTCTGTAGATGCTGAACGATACGAAATTGAAGAGAAATTGTAGTGTGCATAAGCTCTTGGGTTTTCCAATCCGCTATAAATCCGACTGTCTTAACGCTGACTTGATAAGAGGATCTTCTGTCTCTTCCGCATGGGCGGCTGGATGTTTGCACCAATCATATATATATATATATGTACAAGATTCTCTGCTGACTACGCTTTCTAACGTACTAGATTTTGCAGCCTATTTTTGTTCCCGTACAGATTAGGTTAAAAAAGCAATTCTGAAGCTCTTCGTGGTGTAATTGTATTTGTTCACCGGTTACTTCACCTTTCTTAGTTCAAAATATCATTACTTGTATCTTTAATATTTCATTGTTGACTATCATATTATTGTTAATCAGGAAGTTAGTCACATATGCTCTCTGCGACCTTTGATCCATATCAGTAACATGATCATTTTGCGATTCTTATATGTTTACGTGCTGTGTAGCAAAGGCTGCAAGCGAACATAAACGGAACATGAACTGAACTGCCGTCAAGTGGTCTCTTTGAGAACATTAAGTTTTATGTGCAAGCGTAAACCACGGGAAATTACATTCACACAATGCGGCCGACAGCCACATTGTGTACCAATAGATTACATGTGGCAGTCGAACTAATTGCTTCCACTTCTCGTTCTGTACAATTATTCTAGCTTACTCTCATGCAGGCAAAATTGCAGTGAAACGCTCACAAATATCTTATTTACAACAATTATCTTCAATGCAATTGGCACAGTTTTGGTCCCGTTCTGTGACTGATGAACTCCATATTACAGGGTCTTCCTTCAGTAGTTGGTCCTTTTGCTGTCGATCCTCAATGTTCGTTTTCAAGCTCACAGAAATCGGTTGCTGGACATCACTATTCTGTTCACATTTCAGAGCCGATTTGTCTAATCTGCGTAGTTATGTGAACTTGATGATTAGCTCAGTGTCGCTTACTTAGATAGTCATACTTTTTGTTTACGGGAAACCTAAAAACGATTTTATCTCTAGTAATGCAAATGCCTCTCATTAAAATAATTTCGGATGAAAATCGAGATGCAGTGGTTAGCACTTGAGAGGTCTTGGGTTCAAATAACGTCCAGGATACCAATTGCCCCAACTGAGATTTGTCGCGGGTTCACTTAGTTTCTAACCGAATAGTTCCATAATGTAACTTAAAATAGTCCACGAACGCTACATTCCATTGGCTGAAAATTTACCATTCACCGTCATTATGTACTATATGACTTATATTGCTAATAAGTTGTTGTTAAATTCGCGAACCAATAAATTTGTGTAACCGTCCGGAAAATGTCTTGTAATCATTGAGCTTCGTGGATTACGTTTGTAGCGAGTTGTACTGCTACTGATGTTATGCACATCAGGAGGAATGTACTGACCTCATGACAATTTATTAACAAGAAGGCATGCGAGAGAAATCGGCCGGGGCCTATTTTAG